CCCGGCCCGGCCCCCGCGGGCCGCGCTCCGGGCGGGCGGGAGCAGAGCTGGGCGGCGGGCGGAGGGTGGGGCCTCCCCGGCCCTCGGGGGTGGGACCCCCGCCACCTCAGCCACCTCAGCCACCCCAGCCACCCCAGCCACCCCAGCCACCCCAGCCACCCCAGCCGTCGTCTGCACAGATACTTACTGAGCACCTACTGGGTGCTGGCTCTGGCCGCCGAGGACGGGCAGCCGAGATAACCGTGTGAGAAGTACGCCTTCCCGAAGCGAGAGCCCTTTGACTCCGGAGCAAGCACTTACTTCTGAGGAGTCGCACGGGTTTAGCGGCCGGGACGGCTCGGTGGCTTCGCTGCAGCCTGGAGGTCAGCTTGCAGAGAGGGGGACATCGAGAGGAGAGACAGAGGGGAGGCAGCCTCGCGGGCGGGTGCGGGGCGCTGATGGGGCCCGGGCCCCAGGCGCAGGGACACCTCCATTCCGGGTCCCGGTCGGCAGTGTGCAGCTGACACGCGGTGCTGCGGGAAGTGTTTTATCTGCGGTCAAAGCAGCGCCCACAGCCACAGGAGGCCGTTATTGAGCACTTGAAATTAGGCTAGTGCCAAGGAAAAACTCACTTGTATATGTTATTCAGTTTCAATTAAAATTTAAATATCCGCGTGGTTATTTAGTAGTTAGTGCCTAAGGCCCTTTCATTCCCAGTGTATAGTATTACACAATAATAAACGAAAACATGTTAATAATACCCAGCCCTGCTCTTCATGTGCAACCTCTAATCCTGTCCTCCAGGCATGTTGTTTCCTGCCCTCTGTAATTATGTTGACTTCTCCCTAGGAGGATTTATGTGAGTCCCCCAAATAAATCTTTCCTGAGCACCTACTACGGGCAACCAATAGTGATTCAAAGACGTGTACAACATGCCAGCCCTCTACACTAGCAGAGGAAGCACTCACTACATGGTCGTAAATCTGATCATCCAGCAGTTCAGCCAGTGTTTGGAGGAAAAGCCTCAAATCTTTATGGGATCCTTGCTAACGAGACTGTCTTTTGGATTCCCCTTTGGGATTCCCGTGGAAGGGAGCCTCAGGCTCAGAGCCCAGATCAGGGCTGGGTGGAGAACGCCCTTAGCGCTGGGGGGAGAAGCTCAGGGCAGGAATCAGCAGGGTTCTGCAGGTGCCAGGTGGGAGATGCCTGAGCATAGTTGCTGACCCTGCAAGTTCCCCTCTGTGGAGCTGGGGGGTGCAGGGGGAGGGGACCCTAAATAGTAAACACAAGCGACAGCTTCCAGTGCCCACTCATGTTAGGAAAAGGTAATGCAGGGCTGGCAAGGTGGTGAGGCACTGATCCTCCCTGGGCTTAGAGCCCAGGTTAGGAAGCAGGACCAAGAGGGGTGTCAGTAAGGACTCTGAGAATCTGATGTAAAAGCCCGGGAACCGGTCCATCCCTCCTCCACCTCAGTGCCGAAGCAGGAGATTGGCTGAGTGAATGTGATTGTCGCTGGAGGGAGGGGGTCATTGCTCACACTGTGGCGTGCCATTAGGCACAGAACACAGCTGTGCCACCCCAGGGTTGTAGGGAACAGGGAAAGGGAACTTTACTAGAACCTCTGGAGTGAGTCCTAGTCTCCTGCAAGCCACGACAGCACAAGGCGAATTGACTTATCGTACAGGAAAAATAGAAAAAATGAGACTGAGAAGAAGCTGAGCTTTGGGCCTCATCAGTGCTGCTCTGAGCGACAAAGTCAAAAGCCCCCCCTCAACCTGCCATCTTTTATTCAATACATCGGAGTAGCAAATGTAACTAATGACTCAGGACAGAGAGTTCAGTACATCAGTACTGGGAAGAAACAAATGTAACAAATGACTGGGCTAGGACGGATAGTTCAGTACATCCGGAGAAACAAAGGTAACAGATTCGGGGCTGGGCGAGAGCAGTGGAAATCCTAGAACAAGGAGGAACTATGCAGATGAAGATTTTGTTCCTCCCAGGATGTCTTTAGCTGGTGTAATCTTGTCCTCGAGCATCACAACATCACCGGATCATTGAAGTCCTAGCTGTAACCGGAGGACAAAATGGAGCCATGTCTTGAGATGACATTGCTGGCCTGTAGGCAGGAGAACTAGGCCTAATCAAATGAGTTTTCCCCAGAATTATGTAGAGTTGCTCCCAACGCAGAGTGGCAACCCGAGGGTGGGGTTAGAAGTTCCCAGCACAGAGACCCGCTTGTTCCTTCTCCCCACTTTGTGGGTCAGGAGTTTCAGCCACTCTCACATCTCAGCTCTTGAAGAGAATAGTGGCCAGGGGAGAGAACTTCCTAGTGGCAGGCGGATGGGCAAGGCCACACGGTAAGGCCAGAGGCGGTTTCCACCCCAGGTGACCCCCAGGGAGGGACTCGAAAAAGCAGATTTAATGAATTAAGTTTCGTTTTGGCTGCTAACAACACAGACAAAATAACAGTGGCAGAGATGCAATGAAAGTTTCTTTTTCTCTTCTGTGGACCTTTACAGGCAAACCACTTGTGGCTGATGTAGTAGCTGTGTTTCTGTGTGACTCAGGTTTTATTCCAGGTCAGTCTTCTCCTATGATCCGAGCTGGCAGCTAAAGCTGCTGCTGGTACATCTGCTGCTGGGCCACACCTCTAGCCCGACTTCAGATTTCATAACATTGACATTGGATTTAAGAAAAAGTTGAAAATTGTCTTAAAATATCAAAAAGCCAGGTGTGGAAGTGCACACCTGGAATCCCAGCACTCAGAAGGCTGAGGCAGGAGGATCCTTGAGAGTTTGAGGCCAACCTGGGCTGCATAGTGAGTTCAAGACCAGGCTGGACTACATGGTAAGGCCCTGTTGAAAAAAAAAAAAGGAAAATATCAAAGAAAAATAACTTTGAACCTAAATTTGGATTTCCAGCTAAATTATTAAGAAGATAAAAATGAGAAAGTTTGTCATTCATGGCCCCTCTTTGAAAACACTGGTAGAGGAAGCACTCTGCATAGAAAAGAATAAATCAGGCCGGGGATTTAGCTCAGTGGTTTCATCGCCTGCTGCGCAAGCGCAAGGACCTGAGTTTGATCCCCAGTACAAAAAAAAAAAAAAAAGAAAAGAATAAATCTAGGAGTGCCCAATGATGGCAGGCACGAGATGAAATTATATGTCTAAACCAACCACGTGGTGCAGTGCCAGCCAGGCCCACCCTTGGCACCCGCCCCAACCGAGGTCCCTTTTATGAGCCAGTTCTCTCCCCAGGAAGTGGGGAGAAAGGACAGCCAGGCCTCACTGTCCTGAGCTTTAACCGCAGCAGCTGGGTTCTGCTCCTGGTGCCAGGGCAGTGGTGGAGGTGGACAAAGGCAATGATGCCTCGGCCTCAAGAATGGAAGTCCCCTCGATGCCCTGGGGGAGGAGACTCGGGGCTCCTCGGAGCCCTCCTTGGCCCCTCTTGCTGTGCATCTTAGACCTGGTCACAGGCACAGGAAGGGGCCGGCACCTTAGGGCATTGCCAGGTTGTCGGTGGGCAGAAACAGAGGTGGCAGAGCCATTGCGGGGTCTGTTAGGGGAAGGGCGTTGTCCCCATCCGGGTCACCTCTGTAAGGAGCAGAAGACACAGCCGCAGACAGAAAAACCTTATCTCAGTGACCTAAATCCAGCCGCTCTGCCTGCTGTGCTATTTATTTATTCTCAGGCTCCAAATTTCTGGCTAACAAACTCCAGACTTCCCCGCCCCCAGCAGGGCGATGTGGGCCGGGTCAGGGAGGGAGCGGAATGTCAAACAAAGACTGAAGGCCAGGGCTGGTGGAGTTTGTCTTTATCTGTGCTGTTTACACAGCCGAGGTTCTGGTATGAAATTAACAGGAAGTGGCAAGGACCTAGAAAAGGAAGAAGGAGGCAGGGAGCCAAGAACAGTGCTTCCTTCTCTCCTTCCACATCCTGGGAAACCGGCATAAAACAAGCAGGCTCTTGTGTTCATTGGGGGCCCTAGTTTGGTGGCTCCTTGGTCCCTTCCCTCCCTCCCTGGTACTTGGGATGGAACCCAGGGTCTCTGCATGGAAGTGTACCCCCAGCCCTTTTGAAGACTCATTCCTGCTCAGTTGCCCAGGTTGGGCTGGAACTTGTCATCCTCCTGCCTCAGCCTCCCAGAATGCTAGAGTGACAGGTGTGCACCACCATGCCCAGCTACAAGCTTATGTTTGGACTTCTTTCTTTCCTGGGACAGGAGGTGGGAGGGACAGAGCTCTGGGAATACAGCGGCTTCCATGGGCGAGAACCTCCTATGTCTGACATATGACTTGCGTTACATCCACACCTCAGCCTAGTAGACCTGGGTTTCTTTTCTCCGTTTTTCAGATGTGGAGACTGAGGCTAGGGGAAGGCTGTCACCTGTCTGAATTCAAGCAGGTGGTAAGGCCGGAATGCGCTGTCAGGCCGAGATGACCGCTATGGTCAGTACCCAGGTGTGGAAGGGCCCCGCCCACCGTGTCAGCCTCCTCAGACACCAACTCAGTGACCTTCTGAATGATGGGGTGGCGTTGGAGGGACCATGGAGCTGGAGCTTAGTGGGATAACACAGGCAGGCTTCTGCGACTGCTTTGATCCCTGAGCTCTCTTCATTAAAGTGGACTGCAGAGCTAGGCATGGTGGCACACACCTGTGATCCCAGCACTCAGGAGGCTGAGGCAGGAAGGATTGGTGTGAGTTCAAGGCCAGCCTGGACTTCATAGCGAGACCCACAAAAGATCTGTGACCGGATGGAGTCCAGCACAAGCCTCCCGAGGTCGGGCCCTCTAGAAACATGGCGCTGGCTGAAAGTGACCCGGAAGCCACCCTGGTGCCCCGGAGCTGAGTGCGTCCGCCCCGCTGAGGT